ACAGCTTTGCCGGGCGATGGGTCTTGGCAAGGACCTGTCAGCGAGGAACCGTCAAATACAGGATAACCGTGTGCCAGGATTCCATCCATTCCATCCGGTTTATCCGAAAAAAACACTAAGAGGTGATTTAACTAGAGTAGGCAGGTGATTCCATCAAAATCAAATTTTCTGAGGAAGACGTGTTTTCATGCAAATTGAATAATTACTGAATCAATTATAATCAAAATGGAATCAATTGGGCAGAGAGAAACCTGATGAAATTCAACAAGGGTAAGTGTAGGGTGCTGCATCTGGGGAGGAATAACCCCATGCACCAGTACAGGTTGGGGGCTGACCTCCTGGAGAGCAGCTCTGTGGAGAGGGACCTGGGAGTCGAGATAGCAGTGCTGTGGAATCCAGTTCTGGGCTCCCCAGTTCAAGAAGGACAGGGAACTGCTGAAGAGGGTCCAGCAAAGGGCAATGAAGATGATGAGGGGACTGGAACATCTCTCCTATGGAGAAAGGCTGAGGGACGTGGGTCTCTTTAGTCTAGAGAAAAGAAGATTGAGGGGGGATCTTATTAATACATACAAATACTTAATGGGAGGATGCCAGGGGGAGGGGAGCAGTCTTTTTTCAGTGGCGCCCAGTGATAGGACGAGGGGTAATGGGCATAAACTTGACCACAGGAAGTTCCATCTTAACATGAGGAGGAACTTCTTTACTTTGAGGGTAGTGGAGCAGTGGCACAGGCTGCCCAGAGAGGTGGTGGAGTCTCCCACTCTGGAGACATTCAAAACCCGCCTGGACGCCGTCCTGTGCAACCTGTTGTAGGTGACCCTGCTCTGGTGGGGGGGTTGGACTGGATGATCTCCAGAGGGCCCTTCCAATCCTGACCATTCTGTGACTCTGTGAATCATTAAATATTCAAAATAAAATGGTTATTTCAAAAGCTTTGCATCTTAGAAAATGCTGGTGTTCCCTTCCAGAATTTAGTTCAACCCCTTTTTTAATTTTTATGTTTTTTACAGTTTGTCATGGAAGACAGCACCGCGGCTCCTGTATTGCAAATGTTATAACCTACGTACGTTTAATTATTTAAACAACAGTTCAGTCTACCCTAAAGAGGAAAAGTTTCCAGCTGGAGCTGGAACACGTAAACCCCAAACATTCTCGCAATGCCGAAGTTTCCCGCAGCCGGGACAATTCTGCCGTTGCGCTTGTGATCGCAGGGGCTGCGGCGTGGCGGGGAGGTGGGACTGGGGGGAGGAAGGGCGGCGCAAGAGCCTGGGGCTGAAAAAACGATTTCTTGATAGTAATGTGGGAGCAGGTCGTTGGTTTTTGAAGTGGTGGGAATTGCTGAACATTTGGAACAAACCTGCAGAGGAAGGGCGGAGTTCCCCATCTCCGGGTGTCTTTGAGACCTGAAGGCGGTGGCACGCAACAGCTTAGCTGTATTGCTTCTGGTCTTGAACTGAAAGTGGCGAAATTAATATTGTGTGGACAACCTCAGTCCTGTCATTACCTGTGTTTTGAGTGCTCCGCTTCTGAAAACATAAACATTAACGTAAATATTAACATAAGGGCCTCTGTAGTTGTTGCCCACCGACAATCACTTGTCTCTTACCCGCCGTCAGTTGTTCCCTTACGCCTGGAGTCGCCGCGCTCCTGGAGCACACGGCACGTTTCAGAAGGGAACGCCAAAGGGTGCGAACACGTCTGGTTCTTTTACAAAGTGGGTAACAGCCGCAAAAGTTGAAATGAGTTTTTCCGTCAGTGAAGCCTCCTCACCCCAGTTCCGCCTAAACCCCAAAGAGGGGGTCCGTCTGTCAGTGCCCCGTGGAGCCCCTTGTGGTCGTTGCTACTTGGGAGATACCCAAGTGCTGAGGTTGCGGTTTCCAGTTTACTTCTTGGGTTTGCGTCTTAGAGATTGCCTCGCCTGCCCTCGCAGCCCCCTGTGTGTTGTCCAAGAGACTAATGGGTTATGCTGGATCTAAAAACGAGGACAGGGATGAGCTTCAGCGTGTCCTGCAGACCCCTGGAAGGCGTCGATCAGCGTGTGGGTAGCTAGGGGAGCAGATAAGCATCTCCGTCTGTAGGACACGGGTTGGTGCTGGTGGGCACAGGGCGGCCGAGCTGTGATCCCTCTGCCCGGGTGCCTGTGCTCTTCCAGCGCCGCCTGCAGACCAGTGGCACGGCTCAAGGCTTGCGGGTCCAGGAGCCGGCCCTGTGGCTGCCGAACACCCCAGCAGAACTAGGAGATGCCCGGATTTTTGCGATCTGCCCTGACAGCCCAGTAGGAAGGGGATGGTCCACCTCTTGCCCCTGGCTGCAGCCCTGGTGTGCACTGGTTTGCGCTGACCCATTGAAGGTTCCTCAGCTTCTCCAGAAGGTTACGGTCACCGGTAGGTGACATCCCACAGGGACACCGTAAATACAAAAATGTGCTAGGCTGTAAAACCAGATGCAGAGATGCAAAATCATCCGGTTTGGTGGCTTGACATCCATCGGTCTTGCCCTCTGCCCGCTGTCTTTGTAACAGCCGGCCCTTACACCGCTCTCTCTGTTTGTGTCCTAGGTGAATGGTGTCAACGTGGTGAAGGTGGGGCACAAGCAGGTGGTCTCCTTGATCCGGCAAGGGGGCAACCACCTGGTGATGAAAGTTGTTTCCGTCAGCCGCAAGCCAGAATCAGAAGAAGTTGTTCGGAAGAAGGGTAGGTGTGGAGTCTCACGGTTCTCTGAAC